AGGGTCTGCTTAAAATCAGGCGTGGACGTGCAGTGCTGAGGGCTACTTCGAATATGAAGACCTCAATGATTGGACTGGCTTGCGTGGTCTTTATACATTAAACCTAACACTGAATCTAAAGGGATATTCGTATTCATTGGTCTGGCTTATATAGTGTGGGAAGTTCAAAACCGAAGCTGACTTTGTGGACTTCAAGGCAGAAGACTTCGTAGGCCCCCAACCGACCCTGCACCGTAAACCCCTGGACAAACAACCCCGTAACCGTTTCAGGCACAGGGAAGAGAACAGCCCAACGTGCTAGGTACATAGTAGCTGGCAGAGTAGGGATATGAATCATGAATATGATGAACCATCCTGTGTATTTCGCTATAAGCTTGTTTTTAGAATAAAGGACAGCATATGATGCAACCACTTAAATTATTTGCTAAGTGTTCACGACTACTAATTACTATTATGGTAATATTCTTTGCCGATGTTACTGCCATAGGTCATCAGCGTACCAGAGGTAGCGCCATGACCACAACCGCAGCTGTACTGCTGCGTGTGCGACTACTACCGGCTTTGCCCGAAGGAGGCTACGTACCGCGGTACTGTCAACTTGACATTATGAATAAAGTTGCTCTCGTTAACCAGTCGTGAGGCAACACACCAGAAACACATGTAAGTGGATCAGGTCTTCCACCGGACATGACTATCCTGAACAGTCAGAGCTGGCCTCTGCCCTGCGGAAATCGATTCTAAGATCCTGTCGTGCTCCTCTTCGTAGTACAGCTCTAGCCATCGAGCACCCTAAACTATACACTCTAATACAGCGATCCGAATGCGTAGCAGTTGTTCCCCCTGGCCTTCCCGATATAACTACAGTTTGATACAAGCCAACCCCTGATTCCAATCATAAGCCCCCTGTGTTCAATCCTCAGAAGCCTATTAAACCGCTTTTCCATTGTCTGAAATCAAGCCATGTCTAGTTCGCGGAGGAACCGGATCCAGCGAGATCCAGGGCAAAGTTCCTCTCGCAGATGGAAAGGCATGAAGCCTGCCAGGGCCGAGTAGGTTTGGGGTTCAGGGCTCGAGGGATTTAGGCGGTTGAGAGGTCAGGGTTTAGGGCTGGAGGCTAGAAGCGGCTAGAAACTGGGCTCTTTCAGGGCTCCAGACAGTTTCTGGAAGGTGTCTAGAACAGTTCTAAAAGTTTCAAAGCTTCCGATTAAGGGGTTCAAGTTGAGGTTCAGTATGAGGCGGGTTGAAAACAGAGAGTCGAAAAAGCAGCATTGATTTCCCCCTAAAATTGCTTTGGCAAACGTACGGCTTCTGGGTTTAGGTGCTTGGGCGTTGGGTTCCAGATTGTGGTTCTACTGGCGTGATGATGGATCAGGCTTCTCTTCGGAATGAAGACCAGTCCTCGAAGCCTCCCCCCAAAACCCGAAAACCCAACACTTAATTCACTTGATCACCCAAATGTGCCTCAAGGATCCGGCTCCTAAACCTGAAGTGAAAGCTTTCAGAGCGTATAGGCCGATAGAGATCCCTGAAAGACCTGTGGGTTCAGAGCTAAGTGATGTTGGGCTGCAAAAGTTGCAACTCGGACTGTTGCCTCCAAACCTCGACCACGAACCCGGTACATCCCTGCTACGATTTAGGACAAAATGCCAAGAAGGCCGGAGAACACCAGCGGTGTTTAGAGCTTATAGATCGGCCTCAAGCGATTTGAAGCCAAAACTAAGTACAGGAAAGTGGAGGGATCACGATTTCCAGCCAAACAGCCCCAAATGCGCACGGAGACGTGGCGGAAGCGCGACTCGCACATTTCGCGAGCGCCAAGGTATTGGAATTTAGAACGGGGATGAGGTCGGGGCCACAGCGAGAGACTGCGGCAAAGACTGCGAGTTTAGTGGAAGGGAGCCGCAGAACAGCCGCTTGCGCCTACTGCACACACACCTCGCGGCGACACTAGCCACTCCAGCTTTACCTTGCCCGTAAGAAAACCCCACAGTGCTACCTCACTGTATGGGGAATGCAAACAAACACAAGCACATACAGACAGACAGGAAAGCAAGCAGGCAGACATACATGCAGACACGAGCACATCCACACATAAAGCTGTATGTACCCTGCACATTCCCTTAGAAGAGATGAAGATATTTGCAATAACAACAATGATTTCCTAAACCCTAAACCCTAAACTACTGAATCAAAGCTCTGGGTCCCAGACCTCGGAACTTCCATGGAAAAGCCACCACTCGTTCCTGAGAGGCTGCGAAGCGCGAACTGGGGCTTCCGGTTTTGGGGTCCGGGGCCTCGGGTTCGTGGTTCGGAGGTTGAGGGTTTAGGGTTCGGAGGTTGAGGGTTTGAGCTTTTGTAAAGCTCAGGGTTTAAGATGGCTTTCCTTCGGGTTCAGAGTACTTTGGCCCGAAGATAGTGAGCCCTTTACTCATAGAATGTCCCGTGCCTGGCTCGAACATGTTCAACCTCCCACTATGATGAAATGAATACTATTTGCCAGGTAACCGAAAACTTCCAAGATTGTGTTTGCAGGCCCATTACATGCAGAGGCAAGGTTCACTCGTTCGTCCAGGGGTGCTCCGTCCAGACGATCGAAGGGCTCCTAGAACGTCTCCGGCTGTAGGGCTTAGGGTTTCATCAGGGCATTTTAGGGTTTAGGGTTTCGGGACATAGGATTTAGGGTTTAGGGCGCTTAGGGTTTAGGGCTTCAGCGGTTCAGAGATTGGTTGCATCTTGAAGTAAAACATGGGTGTAGGGCAGCTCACCCCTAAACCCTAAAACCATTCGAAGGGACGTGCTGTCCGATCTGATGGCTACATGGTAACAGGCTTTCCCCCAGGGTTGTCTATCCCGCAGATATGAGGCGAGGTTCAAGCAGCTGTCAAGAGGGAGTCCGTCGTGCTGCAGTTGGATCACCCAAAGCTATTTACTCCCTCCCCTCTGATATTCAAGGGTTTTTTCTTATCTCTGCTGTCACATCAGGGAGGACCTTGCTCTGGCTCTTGCTCCTACCTCGGCTCTTGCTTCTCCTCTAGCTCCTGTCCCGCCTTTTTGCTCTTGCTCTTGCTCCTGCTGCGGCTCTTGCTCCTGCTCTTGCGGTTGCTTCTGCTTTTGCTCTTGCTCCTACCGTTGCTTCTGCTCTTGCTCCTGCTCCGGCTTTTGCTTTCTCCCTAATACGAAATAGGTTTGAAAAGGCGGGGATGATTCCAGTCGGATGCGCAGGAAAGTGGCTCCATTCTTAGGGGGTATTTGGTAAATGGGAAGCGACTAAGTGTGCAAGCAGATGAACGGTGGGTTTAGAGATTGCGGTTCCGGCTACATGGCTTCCTTCGCATGAAGGCACTCGTAGACGCACGACAGGTGACCCCCAAAACAAAGGGTTTTACACCTACAAGCTGGATCGAAACTACAGTAAGAGCTTAAACACAAGCCATCATCACTGAACCCTAATTAAACCCCAAATCCTCAAGCTAAACATCTCAAAACCCCTGCCTGGCTGCTCTCAGTCGCCATGCGCTTGCATCCCCCTCGGGCATGCGACTCCTCCGTGAACGCATGATGTCTCCAGGTTCGAACAGGAGTTTGTCGACGTTTTTTGGGGGGTACACTAGAACTACAGTATGCGAATACAAAGAGGAGCTACTAACGAATGGCATCACCAATGACAGTATCCAAGAAGGTTCAAGAGATTCTCCAACAGCGTAAACATGCGCCTGGCTATCGAGCCCTATACTGCTAAGGGTACTTTATGGGAACCCCCATTAAGGGATCTACTTTTTGGATCCTCTCGGGGGTCTGGGTAAGAGTGCATGCAATTTGGGTTTGGGATTGAGCAGTTCGGGTACAGGGTCAGCCCTTGCGCAGTCCAGATCTTCTCCAAAGGCCACCATGTAAAGGTGCCGACGTCAAGATCACATCATGAAATATATAGGGGCCTTCATAATTAGAGCAGGGTTTTGGAGGATATTATACTATAGTTATAATCGGGGCTGCAAAGGAATACTTTTAGCAATTATTATTTCGACCCCTAGATTAGGGTTATCTACACATGGCCGAACTCCTGCCCATCTCGTCTTGACAGGAACCTCACTCAGACTGCCGGACTTTGAATGATCTCCTTTGAAGGGGCAGCGGCGAAAGTCTCGGAAGCTCCCTTGCAGTCTTTAAGGGCCTCTTTTACATGCCTACTACGCCCGGCGAGGTCCTTGAGAATGGCGGCACGCATCATGCTGTACCTTCGAGGATTCTACCAGCAGGGCCCCGGGCTTAGAGGGTTTTGGGTTTGTCGATTTGGAGGCTGTGATTCGTCTCAATCTCATTATCATTGTCGTTATGGTACTAGTACTGAATCACTAACATCTCGTCAGCACTACGATTGCCATGTTGGCTCTGAGTATGCTGACAAACATATTCAACGAAGGCATAGCGTATGTGAGCGATATCAAGATGATATGCCTGTTGACACACAAGCGACAAGACATGTGCTTCTTTCCCCCGCCTGCTAATTAAATGAACAGGCCAGCACTTTAGTCGGCGCATGTTCGCTTCGAGTCGGTCTTGAGACCATGCAGAGTGCGTGTCAGCATCTGCTTGTACGTGCATGCTGCATGATATGTGAACGGAATCATGCTGGCACACAGACGTGCCCGAAGTACTGCAGAACACCGAGACTCGCCAGACCCCAAATCCCAAACCGCAATTGTGATCAACGCCGGAACCCTTAACCTGGAAACCAGGACAAGCTTTGAAGAATGATGTTTCCCAACCATACCCTCAACCCGAAACCATAATCGTTCCCACATCTTTACGCACGGCGACACGCCTGGCCCAGTGGAGGGGTGACTGATTCCGCTGTGCCGAAGCCAGCCGGTAACCAACAGGAACCGCCACCTGGAGCTGGAAATTGGGGGGGGGGGGGGGGGGGTGCTAATCATAATCTTGCTAGTACAATAACAACAATTATTTCATTCATAATTGTCGAAATAAGAAGTTCTAATAGTAGGTCCAAGTTGTTATCTCTTAACAAGATGTAGTCGGAGCCGAGGTTTGTTGGAGTTTTCGAGGTCAGGAGTTTCAGCTCCACATTGAAGGCCCTCGAGCTCCCTGGATGATGGGGGAGCGGAGATTTTCCAGCAGTTCGGGGGGGCCCGGGCAGGTGACCTCTGAGGTTCCGGAAGTTCAACTCCAGCGTCGATAGGCATGAACTTGAAAATGGCCGGGTCTACGCTGTTTTCCCTACCTAAATTGCTTCTATTGACAACTGCAGAGTTCTCGATACCAGCTACGGCCAAATCAGCGCTTCGGGTGTGGGGCTCCCGAGGCTGAGGATGTCAGCCTGAGCTGAACTCTCACGATCTTGCCTGGCCACAGCAAGGAAGCTTGCACACCCCAAACAGGCATAATCTCAACAATCCCTTGGAGCTCCATAAAAAAATTATACTAAACCCTAAACCTCCTACAACATTTTCCTAAGAATACGGCTAGGACGGCAAGGAACGGTGGAGACGCCGGCGGCCTACCCCAAAGCCACAGCTGGCCTTGTTCTTGAAGATACAGGCAGACTCGCAGGCGTTGACTCCGTGCCTTTGTTGAATAGGCGTGGGACTTCTAAAACGAACTCGAAGCTCAAAAGTCGTGCCGTCTATTAACTCAACAATCCTACACGGGACTTTCCGAAAATGGGGACCCTAATATAGTACCCTAAATAGTAGGATTCTTATTATAAGGACCCCCCAAAAAAGGTACCCCTCATTTCGGAAACTCCCACATGCTTTCTCAACTCTCAGTTCATGCCTGGCAACCCAGGGCTCCAGTCAAGCGCTATCTCATTCTACATGTGTATCTGGGTGGTTGTCAATATTAGGGTCCCTTTTTGGGTCCTTGTTATAATACGGCACCTAATATTTAGGGTACCTAAAAAGGGACCATAATTTTGACAACCACCCATCTATACCGGAAAGGTCTGCAAATGAGGTTGCGCTTTCGGCCCCCCAAACTACACCATGTTGAGCTATAATTACCCCGCAGTACACACATACTCAAGATGACCCTGGGCTCTTGACTTAAGAAATCTTAAGAATTCTGAACCATACCAACCTTAAGCCGCAGAACCCCAAACTCTAAACCCGAAGCACAATGAGGGCGCGGCTACAGGCCTAATCTTTTGCATGAGATTTAGGCTGAAGGGCTTTACAGGGTTGAACGTGCGACGGTTTAGAGTTTTAGGCTTCTGGGGTTTGCGTGTTGAATGGCTTCTGGATTTGTGAAGCCAGTGTCCAAGGCACAATGCGCAGCCGCGGTCACGGGTCCAGTTGTCTCCCTCATTGCGCAGGTTGTGGATTGAAAGTCTTGCTTTCACTAAGAAGAGCTCGAGTGGACTCGTTACAACGAGCTTGTTGTTGCCGTCTCGTCTGCTACGACGTTTCCCTTGTTGTACGCTTGGTGATGGGACGGCAGCTTTTAAGAATGCGCTTTTCAGAATACGGCAGCTTTTAAAAATGAACTTACAGTCTGCTAAATCAAATATTCCAGTTCATGTATTCATATGGATGCTGCGCTGAGCTTTACAAGTATAGACCCGAACACTCTTCACTATTCCTTAGACTTCCCACTACAGCTATAGTACACTACACCCAAAACCAAAACCTTACAAAGGCCCCTGACTGTATTAAACTTGTTACCACCGGCAACGATTGCTGGCTTCATTACTGCTCCCACCTCCTCTTGGCAGAGCTGGGGGGGGGGGGGGTTCAAGTGGGGTCGAAGAACTCGCATGACTTCCTCAGGCGTACCCGATACCTTCAGAGCAGGAAGTCACTCAGAACCCTCGTCTGTTAGGCCACTGCACGAAAGCCTGAAAAAAACTCTACGAACATCCGCCTCCCGTGGTGGCCTCGAGAATCAGAACAGGGTTTTGAGGAACAGTTATATAGTACAATTGTGGTAAGGATTCCTAAGGAAGAATGCTGGTAATTAATTACTGTAGGCCTTTACATTAGGCCATTCAGCCTCTCCAAGCCCGCTAAGAAAGGAACCTTCCTGGTTAGACTTAGAAGCCTAACAGGGTTTGATGAGCTCTTTCTCCCGAGAGTTTGCTCGCTTTCCAGGATTGTTTTCCCTAGAGTCCTTAATTATTCGAGTAGGCTAACTCTCGCGTTAAAAATAGCAGAAGTGGGACTATCAGGGGATATTGATACGAATGACAGAATGACTGCGACCTCCGTATCACCTTCAGCCCTGAAGCAGATGATTCCCTGAGTGCCCGCCTCTTTGTGTGTGCGCGTGAGCAGACAGTTCAGCTTGTCCAGGAGAACCTAAGATCATCCAAGAGTGTTTCCCCGGACCAGAAACCTCAAAACCCTACTCACCGCACCCTTGATCGCTAAGCCCTGAGAACTGAGGACAAGTGAATAAAAGACCCCCTGCTTTGGGCATACGCGGGTAAAATGCATAATTCAGAAGCCCCTGCTCTCGTAGTAAGGGGCCTCGCTATTCCGGCTCATCCTTCTCGGAGCCACCGGCGTTTGACGTGAGTATCGTCCTTAAGGGTTTAGGGCCTATAGCGTTTAGCAAGTTTATGGCTGAGGGCCCTTAAGAAGGTGGACTTTTTGATCAGTCTCAACACGAGCTCCTGATGGAACCAACTATCCAGTCCCGTAAAGTCACAACTGAGCAGCCTTCTCAGCAAACCCCAAAACCGCCAGTCGCTCTGCTGCAAACTCCTAATTGCTAAGAACTGCAGAACTTATTGGATTCTATGCGCCTTCTTAATTGAAGGCATATTCTGTGCCAAGGCTCTGTCTTGCAGAAGGTGTAAGGTCTCTAAAGTTTGTAGCTAGTTGAAGTTCAGACGGTTCACAGATTCTTTTCAGCCATTGCCTGTTATAAAAAAAAAGGTAAAGCACCGCAACATGCCTAAACTCTGCCCGGCGCTGCAGCCAGACCGTAGCCAAAACAAGTGGATACAAATCTGCAGGCGCTACTTGCAGCTCTGCGTGGATCTCTTAAAACAAATCAACACCCTCAAGCAGGATATGAACCATGCTGCGGAACTTTACAGGTCTTGGGCTCCCAAATGCACCGAGGCCGAAGCTCTAAACCCCAAAGCGACTGCGTTCCTAAACTTGCTGCAACTGAAGCTCGGGATCCATCAACTTCACCTCGGCCAACACCCCACCCTAAAGCTGTGGATGGATATATATATATATATATATATATATATATATATATATATATTTCTATTATGTACACACGCACGTATGTACGGTAGGCGGGCAGGTACAGAGGCAGGTAGGTATATGGACAAATGTAAACCCTATGTACTACGTTTTGACTAGCTTGCGCTGTCGCTATATTCACGTAGTGTAGATGTAGATCTCCGAAACCTCAAACACACTCAAAATGCGCAACAACATAAATGCGCCTAATCCTGCTTCCGCCTGCCACCAGCCTCCTGTCCTCCTCCTGCGCCTCCTCCTGCGACTGCGACTCCGAGTATTCGTCTTCACACGCCGCGAAGGGAGTTTGCGCTGCGGTAGGGCAGCAGTTTTCCTGCTGATATCCCTGAGACACGCACTATCGGCCCCCAGCTTTCCTGGAACCAGCATGTGACTCCGAGTATTGCTGATGATGAAGATGATGACGATGATGACGATGATGATGCTACGGCTTCTGCGACCGCTAGCGGCTACGCAACGCTGCCACTACCGCTACCACTACCACTACTGCCATGACCACGACCAGTGGTTCGACAACCTGAGCTTCACTCTCCGAAACTGCACATCCGACGGTCGAACTCAGAAAAGTGCATAGAAACCTTGTGGTTAGGGCAGAAAAACTTAAAAGTCCTACAGACGTCCAAGACGCTTCACTAGACGCTAAACGCCCTCAACCGGTTCTCTTGCAGCCGGTCATCGAGCCCCGTGGCGCCAGGGGTCCAGTGGGAAGGGCGGCAGGAAAGTAGGAGTGCCGCCAGGCCTTTGAATGCAGGTCTCAGGGTTGACGGTTTAAGGGTATCTCTTGTAGCATAAGAATTCCTTTAAGGGTACAGGCCAAGACCAAGGCCGTCTTCAATATGGACCACGACAGCCATAGCAATGCACGGAAAGGATGCAACACTACGAGAAATCACGAGAACATGCCGAGGCAGGGGTGGCAAGCAGTACCCCCGGCTCGGGCTGCATCGAAGCAAGCGAGATCTTCGACAGAAGTTGTCAAACACACTCCGTACCGCAACCCCTTAATGTTGTGAGAGCTCCTCGAACGACGGCGACGACAACGACGACGTTACCACGGTGACGACGACGGTTGCGACTACTCCTACTGCTGCTACTGCTACCCTGCTCAGCTGGTACTACTAGTGCAGCTAGTCCTCGTCCTACCCTCCCCTTCCCTCTTCCTGCCCCTGCTATACTGCTACTCGTTCTCGTACTCCTACTCCTGTTCCTTCTCCTGTGGCTGCTGCTGATGGTGATGCTGCTGCAGCCACTGCCACTGCTCCTGCTCCGACGGTGGCGAGGAAGACGAATTAGACGATCCGATAGCTTTCTCCTCCTGCCGTCAGCACAGGCGATGATGACGAAATAGCATTACTCCAAAAGCAGCAGTACCGGAAGCCCTATGGCAGTTGTGAAGACGTCCGTGCAAGCTCGAGCCATGTCGCGCAGAGTTCCCGACAAGGATTTAGGGAATCCTGAAACGAATTAATCGCTTTGGCCCCTCAAGCTGGACCTACTCTTCGCCTTGGCGAGAGGAGTCCGACCAGTGGACACGCTCTGCGTGCCCACAAGAGGCACCTTGGCCAACGGTTTGGGGCGTTAGTTTTGCGCCAGCCCTTACAGCTGCATGGTGTGGCGTTTAGGGAGTGTGCAAAAATCGGGATGTTGAAGCGGTCCTATTCGATTTCGAGCCTCGGAAGCTTAGGGTTCATCCGAAACGTACAAACCCCGAAACATACAGTGTTTGGTGTTCGGTTCAGTGTTCGGTGTAGTTCTAATCCTGCCTGCAGAGCTTCAGGGCCACAGCCGCAATCACGGCACTGTTGACGAGAGAGAGAGAGAGAGAGAGAGAGAGAGAGAGCGAAATATCAACAGCTTCGCAGAAACAATGCAATGCAACTTAACACTTGGTTTGGAAGAAGACGATCACGAAGAACCAACGGAAGACTCGACTAAGAAGTGCAAGCCTACAGCACCCGGACAGCTCGGATGGGCAGCCAGGCTGCAGGCGACCCCGGCTCCCGCGACGAAGGTCTTGCACTTGCAAGCTTGTCCTGGCCAGGTCCAAATCCTTTACTGAACTTAGAACCCTAGCAAAAATTACAATTTTAGCGGTTTCTTAGGGATTGTAACTAAGTGCCCCTAAGATCACTCTTCATGGAGATGTTCAGTGTGTAGGAGGGACACATGGGGCTAAGCCTAAAAAATGGAGCAGGTGGTGTATGGTGCAGGCATGGAGTCATGAGGAGCCAAAGGATTTGCTGTCAGTGTGTGTAGCTATGGTTTACCTTCGTCAGAGGGCTTTTCTTTGCATTTGACTCTTGGTTTCGCCTGTACTTTCTTACACTGCCGATCAGGTATGATCAAGTCCCAGTTCGGTTGCGAAGAACTAACCAGCGGACGAGCTAACTAGCTACCCGAATAGAGGACAAGCCTGAACCGCGGACCAGAGCTTAGAGATTGGGTGCCGACGTAGATTCACAGGCAGCAAAATGGGAGTCGATTGAGCCGAAAGGACTTCGTAGTGGAGCTGATGCCAGCTTACCGGCATCAGGCATCGTGGTGTCTTAAGTTGACTGGAAGGTCGCATGATCATGGCTACAAGGCCAACCTTAAACCCTAAGCCCTAAACCCTCCCCAGGCTGGGTGGGGCCGATAGAACCTTGAATCCTGGAAGTGCCGCTTGGCCTTCGGAGGTCTTTCAGAACGGCCTATGATGAAGTCGGACCGATTGGGGTAAGGATCCAGACCTAGCTTCCCGAAACCCTAAACCCCAAACATCGTTCATCCCAGCGGCCGGACACCCTGGCTCGGCAGCGACGCGCGGACCCAGGCTTCACCTGGCAGCAGAAGTAGCTGGCAAGGTTGAGCACCCCCGCATGTGTGTGTGTATATATATATATATTTTATTTAGATATGTACATAAGCCCAACAAAAAAAATCGTGAACCATGTCCCAGTTCAGCCCCTGAGAACGGAAGCTTCTTCGACCGAGACCAAACCCCGAAACCCCTAATCCAGAAACCCGAAGCCCTAGCCAAAGGACACGCAAAAACCAGGCTCTTCTGCGAGCAGCAGGAAGCTGGCGAACTCATGCCTTCAACTTCATGCCTCCAGCCACCCAGAGAGGCTAAAAAACCCATTCTAACCCTAAGCCCGAAATCCCAAACCCTAAGTCAGACGAGACGCCTATGAAATGTTCCCAAGCCCCATAGGCCCTAGGCCCCCTACAAAAAGCCCTTCGAGCCGAAGCCCCCTCTGCCTCAAGCCATCATGTGGGAGTTTCCGAAAATAGGGGTACCTTATTTTGGGACCCTTATAATAAGGATCCTATTTTTTAGGGTCCTTATAAAAAGGATCCTATAATTTTGGGACCCTTCTAATAAGGATCCTACTATTTAGGGTATTGTATCAGGGTCCCCTATTTCCGGAAAGTCCCATGTGCCAAAGCGCCTCGAGGCCTACTGCCAGGTTGGCACCTTGACGGCTGGCCCAGGTGGCCTCGCGGTGCTTCAAAGGGCCTAAATAGGTGAATATTATTCCTGGGGTCCTTGTTATAACTATAGTAGATAATGGGCCACAAAACTTTCAATCCTTCATTTACCTCAAGTAGTGACCTTAACCCTCACATCAGCTGCGGGAAGATGCAGCATATCCTGCACCGTCAACTTAAAGTTTGTGATGGGAACATCCAGCAGCCCCAAACTCCCAAACCCTGATCCGAACGAAAGCAAGCAGATACATGCACTAAACTCTGCCCAAAAAACCCAGACACGAAGGGCTGGGGGTTTTGGATTGTAGGACTTTGGGGTTTAGGCAAGGTGTTTGGGCTTCCCTCAGCGGGCTCTGTAAGGGTAGTTTAGGGGTTCATGTTAAGGGTGACTATAAGGTCCATCGGGTTTCAATTCGGCGAGAGGCGAAGCGGACGAAGCTGACGTGCCCACGCTGCACGCCACCTGCAGCCGCCCACTCGGCGGCCATGTCCTGACCACCCCCATGCTATGACGCTTAAGGTTAAGGACAAGGCTTAGGGCCAGGTGAAGGGATTCGGGATTAATTAGGCTTTACTTTGCAGAGCTAGGCTTCAGGTAATTAAGGGTTCGCAATCATGGGACCCTAACCCCTGCGGATCGCAGATGTTTCCAACCTACTTCCTACCCTCCCCTGCTACCCCCTCCGCCCCAAACCTGGAGCCCTAAACCCCTGCGCCATCGAATCTAGACCACCAGCAAATGAACAAAAAGCTTGAAGCCTTGTCCCCTTTTTGACTGGGCTCTGCTCTCTAACCCCTAAACTGATCTCCTGAAGCCAAAAAACGAAATGCCTTAAACCCTAAATCCTTAATGTCCTACGCCCTGAATTCTAACCCCTATATATATAAACCTTACCACCTAAACAGCTAAACCCTGCACCCGAATTCCTGTGCTCTAATCAAGGTCCTCCACACGCCGTGGCGAGTCTCGCAGCAGCCTGAAATCAACTTGTGGAAATGTAGTATGATACAGAAATAGCAGTATCACCGAATGTAGCACAATCATGCACAATCTCATCGAGTAGAACAAAATCAAATGTGGAATTTTAGTAGCACAGCACAGAACCATGTTTGATATGAAAACATGATAATGCAACAGGATTGTGTCAAGTCTAGCCTACTCCAGTCAGCTCAGTCCATTTAGTATGATGTATCAGAAAGTGGCCATTCAAGAAGACATGCTCCCCCGGCAGGCCGGTAGACGGCATGGCATGGGACGGGATGGTGTGGTATGGTATGGTATGGGATGGCATGTAATCTGCTGCAATGTACTGTACTGCATCTACGTAATGTACCGTGCTGTCATGTACTATAATGTTTTGTACTGTAATGAAACGCAGCGTAATGTAACGTGGTGCAATTAAGGCGGTAATGTATGTATGCATGCTGTGCATGTATGTTATGTACGGATGCAATGTACGTGTGTCATGCCTGTCTTCCGGCCGTCCGTCTGTCCATCTGTCCGTCTGTGTCTGCCTATTTGTATGTGCGTGCATATGTATGTCTACGTGTACGTGTAGGTGTATATGTAGGTATTATATAGGTCATCAATTGGCCATGTATACGCATGTAGACAGGCTCTGGTTCAGGTGGTCGGGTTTGCGGCTTCCGACCGGGCTTGCGGAACTTAGCCTTTCACCTCGAACTCCGAAGGCGGACGGCCCCTGACATCTTCGGTCGGCTTAGGGTTCAAGGTTTGGGAGCCAATGTCTGAAACCTTAAAGCACGAGCCGAGCAGCAACACCAACAACAGCAACAGTGGCGACAGCAGCAGCAGAATCGCGCTAAACTTCATCAGAGCCGTCATCATGTTCTTCTCCACCCTGATCATTTATGTTCCCGTGGTTCATCACAGTCATGGTCGTCACCACCATCATGTCGTCATCATCTTCATCATCAGTACCAGCATTAGAGCCATCCTTAAAGCCTGGCCACCCCCTCTGCGCCAGCTCTGCGGCAGCAGCGCGGAAGTCGCTCAGGCAGAGGTAGCCTCTTTTCGATGGGGGCTTACTAAATGTCAACCTCGTGAGGCAAACGAGGGCGAAGACCCCGAAACCCCTGCCTGAGGAGCGAGAGTCGAAGTAGGTGAAAACGTCCCACAGCGTTTCCTGGGCTTTGGCAGGCATGCATGCCCGGGGCTGCAATTCTAAACCCTAATGTATAGATGTGTTGACAAGCAATTTCGAAACCAACAGACCACTGATGCCACTGTCAATTTGGCTAGAAACCCTGAACCCCCAAACCCTAAACCCCAAACGCTAAAGCTCTAAACTCCGAGCCCGAAACTCCAGGATCCCAGCAGCTTCCTAGGTGCTCACGCCAACATCAAACCGCCCTCCAAAGTCTTTGGGGATTGGGGGGCGGGGAGGGTTGGGGAGGTCAGGGTCTCTGCTTCAGGGTTAAGGATTTAGGGTTCAGGATGGTTCAGGGTGGTTTCTTACTGCCTGCACAGTCGGACACCACTGCAGCGGGCTGGTTGAGGCCTGTACTTGGGGCTGCAGCGATCTGCAGCGGTCAGACTCCGCAATCCATCCGGCAAGGAAGCGTATCAGAATCCTCGTAGTCTGAATCTCTGGTACTGAACACTGAACAATTCCAGCCCTGACAGCTTGACCGTAAATCCTGAACCCCGGGCTCGGTTTGCGCAGCTCGCACACTGGAGTCTCAGTGAAGACCCCTTCAAAAGAACAGCCCCGCCCCGCCTATTTTGCGGTAAGTCGTTCAAACATGAAACGAACACGGTAACCCCCAAACCCTAAACTTCCTGAGCCGCAAAAGATCAGCTAGCCCGAAACACTAGAAAAAGGAGCCACTCCGTAAAAGAAATTAGTTAACCCCAAACAGCCTAAATCCTAAAGTCCTGTGGAGACTATACGAACAAAAAGTCGACTGGAGCTTTCCCACAGTGACTGCAGAAGCCGATGAACCTTATCCTAGATCCCTATATAGATCCCTTGAAGGAAGCCTATATGGATCCGGAAAGGCGTAGAGGACTGCCAAGGGTCTAAGTGAGGGCCGCCAGAATCGAAAACAACCTCCGGAAGTTGCGCTTGTTGAGGTTTCAGTATACCCTAAGGCCCCAAAGTAGTTCCTTTCTGGGGTTCGTATATAGAATCCTATAATGTAATCCCAAAAAGGAACTACTTTGGGGCCTATGGGTAGGGTATGGAAGTCAGTGTAGCGTTCGGGCTAGGGGTTGAGGGTTTAGGGGCTGCAAGGTTTTTGGAATCTAGTGCTTTGAGCCTGGAGTTGAAAGCCCAGGGTGTGTTGCCTGTGATGTTAACGTGGGTTTGGGGAGTATAAACACTGTTGGGCTCATCATCATAAAACTACAAACCAGACCTTCACCTAAAGGCCTTTGAAGCTCGGGGCTCTGAATCTCGATCTCATACAGCGACGACCACACTGCACACTATGGTCCAAGGCCCATCCACATGATTGCAACAGCTCTTGCACCTGAATTTCGTATTACTTTCTGGCTGTGGCCTTTTTCGCAAACAAACGTGACAAACTTCGATCCTGGGCCCAAAGGAAACTCAAGTCGACGGCAATTCAAGTTCCTAAACTAAGCGCCCCCCAGACCCTTGACTACCGCCAAACAGCCGTCCCCTGCTCTTGTGCTAATAGCTCTCTGGGCACTCTATCCTGCAGTTGCGCAAGTATACCCATCAACACGAAGCCGAGGTTGTGCAAACCCAAGCACGCTTCGGACACTTCGCTCCAACCCCGCTAGACCGAAAATCCGGAAACGCACCTCCCCGCATCGATACTCCTGGTCCCCGGGGTGGGCGAAGCGGTCGCAGTGCTCGGGACTTACCTGCCCAGGTTGCTACTTAAACCCTAAACCCCTGAAGTCCTTAAATCAGGGGATGATCAGTTGATGACGGTCAGGGTTTGGGGACGCAGGGCACAAGAATTTTCATGGGGAGCATAAAACTTGGCCATCACTGTTACTGCTATTGCCACATACTGCTGCCAGCCAGTGCAACGACCAGTTGACATAGAAGCAAGTGCTTCCATTTTTGCCAGTACAGCTACTCGCAGCCGCACATGCGGTTGTAAAACTACGAATATTGCTTCTGCTGGTGCTGCTGCTCCTACTACGACGACGACTGCCACTACCTCTACGCTACCGCTACCAAGACCACCACCACTTCACTGCACAAGTGCTCTCTGCCACTGCCACGACGACTCCAACTCCTCCACCACTTGCCTCCAGATCCCTTTGAACCCGGGAGAGGATCAAAGCCATAGACCCATAGATTCAGCGCCGATCCTGTTCTTGAAGCCTGATGCCTATGGGCCAGGGGGAGATGCTTGCTTGTGTGCATTCAGCGGCGGGTGCACTGCTTACGCAGCTCATGCGTCATCCTTCATCACGCCTGCCTGATAGCAGGATGATCCGAAGCGGCAGGCCACCTTCATCAGGCGCTAAGGCTTTAGGGCTCCGGGATCTACCGTGCGATGTCAGGTTTTGGGTTTATAAGGGTTCAGAGGACCAAGACTCGGTTAGCACGCAGCAGAAGCACAGCGGCGACAGCAACGTCGTTCAAATCCGCTCAAAAAGCATTTCAGCTTTAGCGGCCCCAATCCCCCGAATCCAAAGTGGGGATTTGTGTAGTGAATGCAGTTTCAGTCCTGGAATCCTCCAAGCCTATCAACCGGCTTGGAATTCTCAGGCTCGCTTAGGGCGTTAAGAGCGTATTCGGGCATAGATGCAGGACTGAACTGTACGTTGGTTTCAGGTTCCTTGAGGTATCGTGAAGGTGCTCCGGTTTTACCTACAAGTTGGCCTTTTCAAGGCTATACTCATAATAAGGAACCCTCAAAATAGTAGAGCCACTTGTTAAGTCCCCTATAGTACTGCTGCTGTGAATTACAACTTCTTGACCGCTTTCCTGTACATCCTCATGGTGGCGGTGGACGAGCCTTCACCACTTGTGCAGGGACTGCGTCCGGGTAGCCGCCTATGCCGGCCCTGGCAACACCCAAGACCGATGTGGGGCTCTCTGCAAAAATAGTGGTTTAGAGTCTACAAGTCTGGGGCATCCTGTTTACATGGGGTTGTTTTGACATGGGGCGGGGAAACCGGCGTCGTGACGACAACTGCATTGTCAAGATCTCGCCTTGTTCTGATACTTATTGTTGTTATGGCGACCATCAACCTCCTTCGCAATGACCTTTGTCTAGACCCTAAATACGAAACCCTAGACCCTTAACGCAACGACAGTCCCCAAGATCGCCTGGGAGGCGGCTCTGGGTCCGTCCTGGGGATCGCAGCACGGTGCAAACCATCGAAGAGGGTTTGAGTTTAGAGTTCAGGGTTGAGGGTGTAGGGTTTAGGTCTTGGGGTTGAGGGTTTAGGGTTAGGTTGAGGGCTAATGATCGATGTATGAGGGTTCTCGAAGAATGCTGTGGGGTTCGGCTTTGGCATGCTGAGGACTTACCTGGACCTGAACCCTCAGATCCCCATCTGCTTGAGATGCAAAAGGAAATCAGAACGAGGAAGCCTAAACATGCAGGTTTCCCGTCGTAACGTCGCAATAACATGTTCGCCTCATCAGCCACTGCAAGGTCCGAAGATTCTATCCGAAGATTCTACAACTTTAGGGCGAGGCAGCTTCCGAACTGAAAGGTACCTCTGCAGACTAGGTGACGATACCACAGATGGGCCCTGCTTTCGACATATCCTAAACTCCTGGTACGAGTTTCTTCAGCCACGCTCGGCTGAGATCATTACACCCAGGCGCGAACTACAGACCCGACATGTCCACATTTCGGTATCTGATATGGCTGGCCTCAGATCAGACACAAAACTGCTGTCGTTACTATTTTGACATTACTGTCCAGTCTGCGGCAAACAGTACATAGCACCAACAGCATCACTGTCATCATCACCACCATGATCGCGAACATGCTTCATCACCACGACCCTAGACCCTAGAAACCCTAAACCATAAACCCACACATATCGTCACCTTCAGAAGCACTCGTCACTGCCACCCAGAAGTCCTCTATATCACTTTTCTTCGTGACCCTGTTCTCTGAAGTTTTCTGGCTCACGGAACCCCAAACGCAAAATTCAACGAAAAGTCCTAACCCAACAACTCTAAGCCCTCAGGCCAGGACTTCAACTCCAGGCTCTCACATGCTAACACCCGAAACTCCGTGCCCCAAAATCAAGATGGCCCATTCCTACACCTGACATCCTCAAGTCAACTCTTAACCCGCATCAAACCATAGCCGCAAGACCCAAAACCCCCTGAACCCTAAAGCCCCAACCACGTCCAAAGCCCCAAACCAAAAAAAACCACACCACAAAACCCCAAACCACAAAACCCCAAACACTACACCCTAAACCCTAAACTCCAAAACCCTAAACTCCAAAACCCTAAACTCCAAAACCCTAAACTCCAAAACCCAAAACCCTAAACTCCAAAACCCTAAACTCCAAAACCCTAAACTCCAAAATCTTAAACCCTAAACCCCCAAACCCAAGCGCTCCTTATCTTCGCCAGGCATGCCGCGCAGAAATGTCCCGAGCTCCGCTGGCCCGATAAGCGACGGAGCTTCCTCCGAACATGATGCTTCCTTCTTTCAGGGTATCTTTTAAGGGCAGGGTTTTTTCGGGCTCTAAGAAGGATCTGTAGGATTTAGAGCTTGGGCTTTCGGCTTTAGGGTTGAGGAGTTCGGGTCATGGTATTCGTCTCTCCTTCTATGTTGAAACTCTCATTAGCATGAGAAGCTCAGAGTTCAAGGTCCAGAGCCTAGAACGCGAAGGACCCAACACCCTGAAGCTATGCTCAACATTGACATTTCTGATAGCACCGAAACATAAGGAATCAATGTCGACTGTGGGATGTGGGGGCTTGCGAAGATAAGGACCCAGAGTACATTTTCGGATACCCCTCAGCTAAAATTCTACACACTGCCTAAGGCAGACTCTCCAATTTGGGGCGAATGTACGAATACTTCAGAAAGGACGGTCGACCTTCCGCAGCACCCTCTTTCTGATCGCAGCAGCGACCACCACCGAGACAAGGGCTCTAATATCAACCACGAACAGCAAACCCTGTACCTTCAGCCGCAAACTCTTACCTCAGACCCTGTAAACACCTAGGGCCGCTGCAAGCTTCCTGAAAGCTCCAACGGCCGAGTTCAGACCAACTCCACTATACTGAACTTAGAACCCTAGCAGAAATTGTAATTTTAGCTGTTTCTTAGGGATTACAATAACCAAAAGTTGAAAACTATTTCTAAGTACCCTAACTTCAGATCACGTTGTGCCAGCCCGGATTAGGGATCGAAACAGTTTAGGATAACAGGCACCGAACAGCATACACGAATCTACCCTCGCGGCTTGACCCAAACATGAGCTAAACCTCGTATATAAGCCCAACCTGAAACCCTGAACTCTCCAACAACCCCACTAAAGGGAACTTCAGAAAGTTGGAATATGGTTTCAGGGTAGGATACCCTATAACTTACCATAAAGGGTTTAGGATAATGATATTCCAACTTCCTGGCTTTTACTTTAGATCAGCTCTGAAATGCTTCATTGATCCGGCGAACATATTCTGCATACATACATTGTTAGCGCCCCCCGATTATTTTTCTACAGCGCCTCAAAAGAGGTAGTTAGCTTTCTGGTTAGGACCTGAACCCTATACAGCAACAGTTCCAAGACTCCGCAGAATCCACTCTGCCACGCCAGCAGTGGGAGCACCGCAGGCAGCGCAGGGCATGCGCACCGCAACATATATGGGGGTGTTCTTAAAGGCTCGGGGCTTAGGGTTTAAGGATTCTTTTTTTGAACGCATCTTTCTGCACCGAGGTCCAGAGAGCCTTAAGGATGTTTAAGGTTTGGGGTGGGGTCTGCAAATGTCTGCAAGGCCGGGAGCTGATGGTTCAAGGCTTTGGTGGATTACAAATACAAGGTTCAGGGCTAAGTGATCCCGACCTGCGGGTCCTGATAACTCGGATCCTACACTGTGGTCAGGTCCTTTAATTTGTGTAATATAGGGCCGTAGTAGCTAGAAGAGGGTTTGGGGGATAATATGCTATAATGATGCATTAAAATACAAGGAACCCCCAGACTAGTATGGGTAATGATTAAGGCCCCTATGTTAACTGCCCAAGGTTCAAAAACAGCAGCAACATGTTCGAGGGAAAAGGGGAAAAGCCCTGCTGATACCATGGCTCAGAACAGCCCACATAATATGGGGTCGGAATAGTGAGTACTATCTCCGTAGGAGTCCCTAGATAATTTTACTACAATATACCCCCTAACCGCCCCTAACCCTATTCAAATTCTTCCAGCCCCTTGTGGAAAGGTGATGCTGTTCGGGTGGGGTGGGGGCTTTGGGGTTTAGCCTGATTTCCAGATGTAGTACTACTCGAAGCTTTGGGTTTGAGCTTTGGGGTTTATGGGAGTAGGTTTTAGGGTTTTCGGGTTGACAAAGCAAACACACACACACACACACGCGCGCGCGCACACAAGCACACACTCACAGACACAGACACAAAGCACGAGGGACCCCAACCCTATGCTAATGATTAAAGGCACGATACTTAAACTTAAACCCTCGCTGATACCCGCTGATAGTAACCCCTTCTAGAAAGCCCTAGATCCGTTTCAATTCAACCCTATTAGGCATTAAGCCCTTCTCCGAGGCACGAGGGACCCCAACCCTATGCTAATGATTAAAGGCACGATGCTTAAACTTAAGCCCTCGCTGATACCCACTTATAGTCACCCCTTTCTAGAAAGCCTAGATCCGTTCAAAACAACCCTATTAGGCATTAAGCTCTTCTCCGAGGCTCCCACGCCAGCTGCAGGCCTACATGACGGCGGGCTTGAGAGGAAGGGCGGGCACCACCTTCACAAGCTGGAGGGTCTAGGTTTTTCACGGTTTGTGGCCTTAGGGTTAGGCGTTCGTTCTTATAGGGGTCGGGGTGAAGGTTTGGGGGCGCGGAGATAAAATGTGTTTTTTCCCGAGACTTTCGCATCTAGACATTCATGGGCTTTAGCCCTTTAGAGCTTTGGGGTCTTGAGGCTTTCGGGCTTTGAGGTTCAAATTGTAGCTTTACGGCTAGGCGCTGCAGACCGTTGGGGTCGCAGGTTGAGGGCTTGAGGGTCACGGGTTTTCATGGAGTCGGAACTTCAGTTCGAGTGCGTAGGACATCCGGCAAAGACCGAAAATCCTAAACCCTAAACCCTGAACCCTGAACGGGTTGATCCGAAATCCTAAATCCCTCCATGCCTCAAGACAAAAGCCAACATCCTAAGCCCCGAACCTTCTTACGAAACACACCAAACTGCCCAAACATCCCAAAACCCCGCAACCCCCAACGCTGAGACTAAGTAAGTCCACTGTTGAACTTGGGATCCCTCAAACCCGAGATCGCTAAGCACCACATCCCTAAACCCTGACGGCTTACGATAAAGGTTGAGGGTTTTGGGTATAGGGGTTTAGGGTACTAAACCCGGTCCTGCCTAGTGTAGACCTGCCGCAGGTACAAGACCTGAACCAAGCTTTAAATGCCCACCACCATCTGGTATTCACCCCACTTTCATCCGAATACAATCCCCGAACTAGGCCCTTAATACAACCCCCTATCCCGTAGCGCCCTGAACCGTAATTTCCCTCTCGCTAGAGTTTTCCTTACATGCCGCCTGCGGAAGCGGTGCTGGCGCCGGAGCCTTGCCGGCGCCTGGTTCAGGGTGTCTGTCTGGGATTTGGGGTTCAGGGCTTCCTGTAGGGGCCTTAATAATTAGAACAGGGTTTTGGGGGTTCCTTACAATTTTCAAAGCATAATATACACCCAAACCCTGTTCTTATTCTTAAGGCCCCTACTTTGGGGTCTATAGACTTCGGGATTGAGATTCAGTTAGGGACTTAGGTCCCATTTAAGGTTACAGTGTAACAGGGTTTTGGGACTCTCCGGGGCTTATCGCAACAGTTGGTGGCATCATCTGGCTCCGCCTGCTGAGCATGGTGTCTTCGGAGCAAAGTTTAGGGATTACGGGCTGCACAGGGCCTTCTGGCAGTTCAGAAGACAAAAGACTACGGAAGGGTGCAATCGAGCTTCATTCGTCAAATGGCCGGCAAGTATGCCGCTTCGCAGTTCCGAAGGAGTTCTCTGCTCAGGCTACGTTGCTCATCCAAATGGGAGTTTCCGAAAATAGGGGACCCTAATATAGTACCCTAAATACTAGGATCCTTATTATAAGGACCCCAAAATAAGGTACCCCAGGTACCCCTATTTTCGGAAACTCCCAAATTGATACTCTGATTACAGGTGTCTATAAACGGCTCGGAGCCAAATCCGCTTTTCAGGTTGCTGTTTGAGCATGCTGAGACGGGAAACCAGGCTGGGACAGGAAGCAAGGGCTTCAACCAAAACATAGGCCGCTTTAGCCTTGCATGTCTTTTTGACTTGGGGTCTTTTGGGGCCTGTAGCGAGTAGTGTAGGGCTGTATTTGCGACACCTATCTCACAACCTTACCCCCCCCGGTTCCGGATCCCAACACACCCGCCTGCTCCGATAGCGCCATGGGAACCCGGAAGCACGTCGGGATTCTCGATGACCTTCCTGAGGCGTCCCGAGCTTCTGGTATATTGGGTTTAGGGTTTTGGGTTTCCCGCAAGCCACAAATTCAAAATGTCAAAGCAACTATCAGTGAGGGGTAGGAGGGAAAAATGTGCAGGAAGCCTGGAATCCTGGAAGGTTTGAGTGCGAAATCCCAATCCCTATGCCCGAAAACCAACAACAGACCCGGAGCCAAGTGCTCATAATCGAGAACCCCCTCTTCCTGCCTCACGCCTCCTTCTACCTAGGGGCTTCCAGGCTACAGAGAACACAGAAACCACTTCGGTTAGGGTTCAGCGATGTTCATGAAATTGGATGAGGGCTCAGGATTTGGTAAAGGTGTTTAAGGGATTTTGTGCCAAAGATATAGACGACATGAGAGAAATTCCATGTGCCCATGGGGTGACTAGTCAACTGGGCATTTATCAAACTGAACTGGAATAGAAAGAACTTGTTCAAGGTCCCCGCACCAACAAGAATCCTAAACACTCTAAGCGCTTCGTCACCCTGGTAAAACCCAGCATCCAATGGCCTAGAATCCAAAGACCGAATCAATACCCAACAAGCCGGTAACAACAAAAACAAAGGACCAGCAACGACGAGACCACGCTTTGAGACTACACTGCCGGCGTGCTTATAAGCCCTAAAGTTCCTAAAGCCCGCAACCTCCTGAACAGTGGGCCCACAACCTTCGATCCCAATTCCTAAACCATGAGCCCTGAATCCCAACCCGAAACCCAAGACTCCGAATCCTCAAACCTCGGCCCGAACTACACTCCAACGAAGCCCAGGGTCGGCTTCACAAACTCGGGGTGGAGGATGCCATTCTGCTCGCACCACCTTGGACAAGCTTGGGGTGTACAGCTGGCTTAACTTAAAGGGGCTTTGTGAGGTTTCATGGGGTTCGTATTGAGGGTCATAGGGGCTGT